TAGATATAGGGTAGGCGGGTATATAAAAGAGGGGAATGTAACGTGTCTGGATAGATAGTGAGTAATTGATCTGCGGTCAGAAGTATTATTGACGTTCTTTGTTATAGCGTGTGTTTAGCTCGATTGTTGAAGTTGAGTGTATCGGTAAAGTTATATTTGGAAAGAATAAACTAGTTTTATTAAGAAAGGAGTTGTGTCGCTTAAGTTTCGTCGGAACGAAGTTACGGAAAGTTAATTAACAAACGGAGACGTAACAATATATCATACAAGATTGATTTTGCTAGATAACGTGCTAAATGACTGAAAACATGTGGACTTTCTTTTAACAATGTTTATTGATTGATAAAAGTTTTATTTACTAACGTACCTAGAAGTATAGGAGTTGATTAGTTATAAATTCTTGAGCCTTACCACGTCGTTACAGTCTATGTCGCTACATTCAGCCATGCAGCATAGTTTCTATTGGAAAAGGCTCTGTCGTAAGACTTTCATGTCAAATGCACACCATTTCTTCAAACTCACTTTCCATAAACCATCTAATGTACAAGGACAGCGTGTTTCCTATTGGCACAGACGTCTAAAGGCGCCGCATATTGGATTTTTATGTACATATGGCGTGCGGCATCTTCATTTCACTTTAACAATGCCAAAAGGTTCCATAAGGAATTTATTAAACACTACAATATAAGGCCTAATTCTTCGGTCTCAAACCCAACAATGAAGAGTCAAATTCGGCGAAGCTAGTCTACTACGTAGGGAGTAGCGACTCAAAGACTAGATTAGGTCTCATTTACGGATTCTTTCCTTTCTGCACTGAAATTTAACATTTTGGGGAACAAAGAAATGTTCACAAATAATTATATAATATGTTAAATGCAAAAATACAACGTGTTTTATGCAGAGAAAATTCATACAGAATATTTTAGCTAACCCTAATAAAGTTATTTGCTATGTTTCAAACTCTTAAAATTTTTTCTAGGACAAATCCTTTGGATATAATCACCATGGCAACAAAATGTGACATTGGTTCAACAACTCAAACGTGAATAATTCGGATGTACAACTTGAGTATATACATATATAATATAACTTATAAGTACAATAGATGGTTTTTAGAACAACGTTCGTTACTGGGCGCTGCCTATATTGTCATGATTTCTGTTTTTCTTTCTACTTTGAGTCTCGAAGTATACTTCACTAAGCTTATGTGTGTGTGTGAGGAGCCTGATATTCATGCGGTATCATGCGTCATGATGTGTACATGAAAAGGTACTTAGAACCGTTAGTTGCGTATTTTATAAAACAAAATATACTGCAACAAATATTAAAACGATTTGGAAAACTAAAGATTTATTCATTTTTTATATTGTGAGAAAATTTCTATTATCGTTTTTTGTAAAATAAAATTCAGTGTCGTTTGCGTATCTTGAGTTATAACGTCTAGGCCTAAACAAAGGTGTGAGAGATAGTTGGGTTCTCTATACGCTAGAGAGGAACCTTAGCAATACCTTCGAACGTTTAGCACTGAGGAACAAGGGAGTGCTAACGTTTGTATAACGTGATAACAGGCTGTAGCTGCGAAACTATGGTAGTTGGTGTGGAAGAAGAAAACATGACTGGTAGACAGAGAAGCTATAGTACCGGATCTGATGTATCAGATCATTTTACTGAAATAAACGAAAGACCTGTTGATGATATATCAATTGGGTTCTTTTATAAACCACATACAATAACGCTTTTGACAGTTTCAATAGGAGCACTTTTATATTTTGCTTTTACAAGGTAAGCAGCAACTTTTTTTGTATGTAATTATCGTTTTAGGAATAGGTTCCTCACGCTGTATTACTATTAGTGTATATCAATATCAACGAGGCGTTAGGCCTAATAAACAAAACAGCAATAAGACAAACATCAGTAGTGGTGAGTTATTTACTGTTTTGTTTTTTTTCTCATGAATTTGCATCTAGTATTTATTTAATTAAATATTTAAATAGTAAATACCACAGTGGTGTTGCTTGTTGGATCTTGCCTAATAATAATATTAGTATACTGACTGTGGTATCATAATATTCATATGTAGTAATATATATATGCACTCATATTCATAATAACATAACATAATATTTTGGGACAACATGGGACCTATTGGTCCATCTCGGCTATTCCATCCTCAAAACTAAATTAAAATGATTAAAAAAAAAGATAGAAAAATGTTAAACCCAGCCCTTTTCATTCATATACTTATCAAGCTTTTTCTTACACTCACTTAAATTTACTGCCTCTACAACATCTGAAGGCAACCCATTCTAAATGCCAACCACCCTGTTAGAAAAATAAAACTGTCTTAGCTGAAGATGACTCCTACCTTGCCAACATTTTTATTTATGTCCCCTAGTCCTACTATTCTCATTGTTAAATATAAAAAAAAGATGATACATCAACACTATCAGTTCCCTTTACAATCTTAAACACCTCAATCAGATCCCCCATAACTCTTCTTTTTTCAAGCCTCTTATCAGATGACCACCCCTCCATCCCATTCTAGTAATTCTTGTCTGTAGCTTACTTAAGTTAATTTAGTGCTGACTACCGTACATGATTTTGCATGTTAATGTTACTTTCTTTCCCCCACATTTTCATTATTATTATTTCTTAAATAAACTATTGGTATTAATAGACTTTTTTTGATCATTCAATTTTAGGCAGCTTATTTCTGTTTGCCGCTTGAGATTAAAAGAAATAGAATTGTAGTTCCATATTTTCATAAAGCCAATTTTGAGTTCATGATACAAGATTTATCATTAGCGAATTGGAAGAATCAGTTCTAAGGTGATGTGCGACAGATTTGGAAAATTTTAAGGAATTAATTGGTGTTAATTCAAGATAGGTACATTCCTAAAAAAAGAAGGTATAACATGGAGTGTCACACCTAACTTGTATGTTAAAGACAAAGAAGAAAATAGAGGATGAATGAATGCTTTAAGTTTAAGAGATTTGAATTGACAGATAAGACAGAAGACTTACAAGCCTATAGGAAAGAAAGGATTTTGTTTAAAAAATAAGTTAGAAAATTTAGAAGGGCAAACAAGAAATAAAATTCATCTAACAAGATGAAGTTTTAACCATCTTAAAGGGAAACAAAATGTTAAAATGAAGATTAAAGGATACTAATTGCAAGATTTTAGTTGAAAACTATGATGATCGAGCTTCTAGATGTTTTGTTTTTCTAATGATCTTAGTAATTGATTTTCGTCACCCTTAAGCATTTGATGTTGAATATTGGGATTGACCTGAATAATGTAGATATTATTAATCACTAGGTGGTAAGAAGAAAGATTGATATTTTAAAAATAAAGCACCAAAACTAGACTATGTTTACCTTTGGGTTTTAAAAAATATCAAAGATCAGACATGCAAACCTCTCTCTTTCATTTTTGGAAAGTTGGTGGTGGAAAGTAGGCTGGTGTCGGAGGATTGGATAATCATAACTGTTACCCCTATTTTTAAAGAGGAATTATGAGAATCTTCTGGAAATTATAGACCAGTTAGTCCTAGAGAAAGTAAAGATTTTCAAAATCACTTAGTGAAATATGATATGAAAGAAAATGAATCTTACATGTTGTCTCAGTTATGGAGAAGATGTGAACTTGTTGTATTTGTATTAAAAAAAAAAAAACTTTTGATAGGGTGGCCACAAAAGATTAGCTAAGAAAATTGTATTGGCAGGGGTTGGGTAAAACTAGTGAATTAGATAGTAGAATGGGTGGATTGGAGAAGAAAGTTGTTATTAATGGAGTTCAGTTAGACTAAGCCTCATCGTTTGCAGTAGAGTGCCTTCTTTTTATTTACATTACTGATATTGATAGGAGCATAAATAATGAATTAGTACAGTTTGAAAATGATGTTAAACTCGTGGGTATTTCTAGCTGTATGAAGGGTGTTAAAGTACACAAGATATTGATTGGTTAGTCATTGTACAAGCCTGTAAAGTGGTTATACCACATTTGACTAGCTTCAACTGTAGATGCCCCACTAAACTAACAGGATTTTGACTCATAAAATGTTTATAAATTTGTGGTCACTCACGCTGTTAGCATCAGCCAACCAATCCATAATTCTTTAACAGTCTGTGTAACTTGGGAACTGTACCATTTGCATGACCAGGTAATGCAAATAGATCCATGAGAGTCCTCTAGTGCAAAGTTATGCTATCTTACTGTACTCATTAAACACCAACTTCACTTTGGGGAGGTAGTTACTCGAGACACGTAAAGTATGTGGTGGACTCATGTAACCTTTAAAGATTTCTTATTACTGCTTACTGTCACTGAATTTTAAATAATTACTAATTTTAATCATAAGTAGGCCTATGAAAAACGTACTTCATACACTAAGTCTTACATAGACTTGTATCCTCAGATTTACACCAACCTCTCTATTTAACTGTGATTACCAGCTTCAGGTATTAGAAAATGTAAGAGATCATAAACATTGAAGATAAGATACTTAGAAGTGTCACTATCATGATAGTTTCCCACTAATATTCATTGATTTGGAAATTAATCTTTGATGGAATCAGAGTTAAGCCTTTTATCTGTTGTGGAGTACTAGTTTTTTAAGGTTGTTTCCAATATGCTCAGGTCACTTTCATTGCTGGCTTGTAAAATAATTTTGAACTGCTGTTTGTGTTTCTCTATAGCATTGCAACTCAGTGTGAGTTTACCAACACTAGAGGGATAGTGGTTTTTTAACCTTGTATCTGTGCTGAAGCCTGACATTGGAACTAATGTACTCAAGTTTGTATCTTGCACGTGCACAGAGGACTTTTTCATAAAGTTTATTTTATTTTGTGTTTAAGGAGAATATAGTTCTTAGTTTGTTCTATTTTAATTATACACATATGAAACCTAAAAAAACTAACAACAGGCTTCACTTCATTAAATAAACTGTAGCTCATAGTAACTCCAATGTATGACCCAATTTTTAATTTTCATGTAATCAGCATAAATGTGAAATCTCCCATTCTGCGGGCAGAAAGTGCAATGTGAAACCAGCCTCAGCATAGCATCTTTATCTGTCTGAGACATTGTAAGGTGAACTAGATAATACTTGTAATGAAATACTTTGTTGCAACAAAAAAGCATTGCATGATAACTTGTGATAATTTTTATAACTTTGATGTATGTTACACCCAAACTTTTTGATCATATCTTTGTTTCTGTTAAGTTGTACATGAATATTTTCCCAACCAAGGTTACATTCTATGTTGATGGAGTTAATGAAAACTTTATTTCATCAGGGATGATGAAAATAGTTTGGAAGATAATATCTGGAGTGGTATTTGCTGTGTAGTTTTCTTCTTTCTCATCATCAGTGTTTTAACATTTCCAAATGGTAAGTTCACTTTATTTGTGTTGTTACTTGTCATGTTTTATTGTTGTAGTGGATGATGTATTTGTATGTAAAATTAATAATGGATGGATATAATATAAAGTACACTTATGACAGTATGAGAAACTAAACTGAGATATTAGTAAAATTAATACATTTGTTTCTTCTTTTAGTACATGAAATACATAGTTCCAATGTGTTAAGTCTAATTTCTGTTATTTTGGTTCATCAGTTTGTAATGCTACGTCTCTGAGCTTTCCAGGACAGTTTTTTCAGCCTTTAACTTATGAAATTTTTGGCCCTGTGAAACGTGGTTTACTTTTTCTCATGGTTCTACCTTCTCTGAGATTTCCAGGACAGTTTTTTTCAGCCTTCTACTTATGAATTTTTTGGCCCTGTGAAACGTGGTTTACTTTTTCTCATGGTTCTACCTTCTCTGAGATTTCCAGGACAGTTTTTTCAGCCTTCAACTTATGAAATTTTTGGCCCTGTGAAACGTGGTTTACTTTTTCTCATGGTTCTACCTGCTCTTGTGGATTCAGTTGTCTTTTCTTTTACTCTAAGATCCTGTGGATGTTTCACACAGGTTTAGACCCTGTGGATGTTTCACACAGGTTCAGAGTTTTGTTGTTTAGACTTTCATGGGTGTAGAAGGCTGTAGAGGGAATCCCAGAAATAATTGGAGTTTTAATTTTCTTTCTTTGGTTATAATACTGAAAAATAGGACTGGGATTTTTTCTCACTCGCCATTTCCAGTTGGAAGGTTTCGTAGGACTGTGTGTTTCTTTTAGGATTGAAAGGTAAAACTTTTAAACAACATACCATGACTTTCCTGTTCATCCAGACATTCATCATACCATTATTTCATGCATAGAGTAACTGGTGTTATTGTGTACTTGTTTTTTACGTTATCTTAATGAGGTCTACCAATTACGAGCATCTCCTCTTTAAGTTTCTGGTATTGGATCCTGTGTCTTTAATGGTGGATGTTCTGAGTGAGGTTATTTTATTATCTTTTTTGCATGCCCTTTTTCTTCTGTCAGTTGTAATTAGTGTTCCCGGACATGCTATGTTTTATTGTTCTAGTGGCACCAGATACAGTTCACTCTTCTCTTTCAACTGACTTATATTCCTGATGTATATTTCTTTGTAACCAGTTATTACTCAACTTACATTGTTATTAGTGTAGACTTTTGTCAGTTCATAGCTACTTTGTTTTTTCTATACCTCATTCTTTCTATTCTGAGTAGAAGTTTTTTTTTTCTTGCAATATCCATTTGCCGTTGACATTTATCATTGGCCTATCTTGGACAATGTCTTCCAGAAATGTCTGCTCTTTTATACTGAATAATCTTTCATTCTCCAAACTTTGACTTCATTTTTTTCATGTATCATTCTTACCAATAACATATCTTTTCCACACAACTTGCTGTTATATTGGGTCTGTGTGAAACCTATCCACGGATCTTACTGCAGTATACTTCAATCACTGATGTTTTTCTCTGTAGGGTGATGTATCTTTTACAGATTGGCTAAAACAGCTTTTCTGAATGGTTTATTTTGTTGTTGATTATCAAAAGAAGGTTAACATTAGTTCTTGTCTTGCTATTTTATTTGTAGCTTTGACCTCGACTTTAAGGAATGTCTTCTATAGATGTAAACACCACCATGTTCTACTGTTCATAACTTCCATTCTTCAATTAACACAAAGTCCACAGTCACTAATGTTAAGAGCAGTGTGTTTACAGGGCTCTCTCCAAGGTCCTAATGAAGGTTGAATAACCAAGTATACACAGTCTCCATGTCATACAGTTACCCATTTCGTGTTTCTCGATTTTACATAATTTTTATTGCACTTTTTTCCTTGTTTATTTTTCATATTATTCAAACGAAAAATTTGCGAGAATTTAACAATACCAAGTGTTGCATAATTATTGCAAACAAGTTGTAGCTTTATATAGTAGTCTCTGTATACTGTTAGTATAACATTGTATTGAAAAAATCTTAAGAGATAGCCATTTCTGAGTAATAAGGTGTCTTTTCCTCGTGAATATGTAAGGAAAGTTAAGCACTGATCAACAAACTACTTTTAATTTTATGATTCATTTTTTCGGACAGCATATGTGTCGTTAATATATTATTGACATTTTCATTAACACTTATTAAAATTGAAACGCTGATCAAGCTAAAACTTTTAACCTTATGCATATGTTATACAAATTGTCAGTAACGTATGTTATCTAAATTGAAAGACCCACATTTGTGATTTGTTTTGTAACAAATAAGTATCTTTCATGTATATTATTTGAATCAAAGTACTGACTGATCAACTTAAGACATTTCAGCTAGTGATTCATTTTATTGAACAGTATAAGTATATATTTTTTATTTATTATCCAGTTTAAGTTCTCAGCTGTGAATGATAATCATATTCATTACTTTTTTACTTGTTATTACTTTTACTTCAGAATGTATCAGAATTTCTTTTCTGTATTCTGTTTTTTAAATTGTGAAAAGCCCAAGCAGGCACTTTTTTCTGTTAGCCTAATGACTGGTTGTATTACACCAATGTTGGTCAAGCCAGAACAGTGTAGAACCATTATGTAATCCTCTGTTCCAAATCAAAATTACTTGTATGTTTTTTATTGCAAATACTGAGGAGTTTAATATATTGGTCATATGTTCAATTCAACATCTTAATGCCACTCAGAAAACACTGCTTCTAATTGTCTTCACAACTATTTCTGTATTTGAATGAGATTTGATACCTTCAAAGTAAAAACACAATTAAAATGGTTAATGCTGTTGAATGGGCATGCGACCTTCTTCCCCAAGTTTCAATATTTTAGTAAGAAAGGTTTGAGGGAAGAGATGTACTTAGTAGATGTCGTATATTACATGTGGGGACTTCTGAATGATCATTTGTTTTTACTTCAAAATTCTCATCAAGATAAATTTGTTGGGTGTAATCACTGGGAAAAATAAAGTAGAACATTGTGTTAAATTATTGTCTTTCTGTATTCACAGATGTGATTGTTAAGTTTTAGTTTACTCTAAATGATAAGTAATTCATTGTTCCTTACTCGTTAAAGGTCCATTTACAAGGCCACATCCAGCAATATGGAGAATGGTGTTTGGTGAGTATTGGGGATAGTGATTTTAAACATTTTAGGATAAATTCAGTTTGTTTTTAACAATTAGATAGGGTTTCTTCCTGTAGTACTTTATGTATTGTGTTTCTTATCAAAAACATTGTATTTCTCTGTAGTAGATTTGTGTTAGATGTTAAAAAATTATTCAGTAACTAACATGTTTAAAGTTAACTCTATTATGCATGGGTGGGGTGCAACCTTTTACAGGGTAAAATTTAACATGGCATTATGTATTTATTTTCAGAGTTATTCATTTTACTCCACTTTTTTGATTTAGCAACAGTTCAAGGTATAAGAAAGTAAACACCAGATACAAAATACAGGAACACTGAAGAAAACTGAACGATTTGAAGTTTTGTACTGTCAGTTTCGGTTTGTGTTTTATTGAACGCTCCTGTGGAAACTGTAAAACGAAACGTGGAGCATTTAATTAAATAAAAACAACATTTTGGTGTTATAAGGTCATTTATTTCTAGTATTAATATGTCTTCTACACGCCAATATACACAACAGAAATTAGATATGTGACTTTTCTGTACAAAAGGCTTATACATTTGAGTAAAAGCTTGCCTTAGTTTATTTATGTAGATATACCTAGTAAATTTGGAGGTATAGTCAACATTTGTTCTCCAATATTGGTTCAGTTCACTCTGTTAAACTCCATTTCTAGCTGCATTAAGGATGCTGAGGTGCTCCAGAATGACTTGGATTATTTGGTGGATTATCTTATTTAAGTGTGTAAAGTTAGTTGAAAGGAAAAACCAAGATTTATGTGTTTTTTTTTAAAATCTACTCAGAAGCAGAAAATTGTATTCAGGATATTTTGTGTTTATTATACAGACTAACTTATGAGAACACTTTTACCAGCAATTTATATTTTAAAACACCTAAATTATTTTTGTACTAAAGATGTTATAAGTTGTTTATTTCTGTTTATCAGGATTAAGTGTTCTCTACTTAATGAGCCTGCTGTTCATCCTGTTTCAAAACTACAAGACTGTTAAGTCAATTATGTATTGGTTTTATCCAGATCTTATTGCATTCAAGATAGATACTGAGAAGGTAAGATTATTTTAAATCATCACATTGAATCATGAATTTGTGATAGAACATTACAAGTAATTCATGTTTTGGGATGATATCGTAGTAATATGTATTCACACACACATGAATGTACTTATATGCAAATATATACTTTTATTCTTTATAGATGATTTAGATAGTATTGATGACAAACAAACAAATGGGGACCATCTAACTAGTTCAGCTAACACTTGTAGAGAAAGTCTGGTAGGAGTAATTTACAACATTTGAGTTACTTTTTGTTTAGTCCTCTGAGACTTTCTTCACAAATGTTACTTTGAACTAGGTAGATGGTTCCCATTTCATCTTTATTTATATACTCTTTCCATAATGTTACTTTGAACTAGGTAGATGGTTCCCATTTCACCTTTCTTTATATTATCTTTCCATGATGTTACTTTGAACTAGGTAGATGGTCCCCATTTCACCTTTCTTCGTATTCTGATTCCTTGATGTTACTTTGAACTAGGTAGATGGTCCCCATTTCAGCTTTCTTTATATACTCTTTCCTTGATGTTACTTGGAACTAGGTAGATGGTCCCCATTTCACCTTTCTTGATATTCTCTTTCCATGATGTTACTTTGAACTAGGTAGATGGTCCCCATTTCACCTTTCTTTATATACTCTTTCCTTGATGTTACTTGGAACTAGGTAGATGATCCCCATTTCACCTTTCTTTATATACGTTTTCCATACTGTTACTTTCATTAACAGTATTGATTATAATGTTTGATATATTTGTTTATTTTCCACTATATGGATATAGGCTGGACAAATACTGTGTAATAGAATAGAAATTACACTAATAGTGAGGATACCCCACTTATGAAGCAATGAATTATGAGTAACAACATAAGAACAATATGTTAAGTATTTATTGTTGGATAAATGTATAGTTCTTACCTTTGTAGGTATTTGGCTTTGATCAGAAACTAATATTAATATTTCTAATTACCAAATCAAACACTTGATTGTAGGAAAAGAAATTGATAATTGTTGCCTTATACAGCAATTTAGATAACTCAGTGTGTTTACGAGTGTAAAACTTATTACAAGACCACTTTTTCTAACAGAACTCTATAGAGATATGTTTATTCATGGAATGAACTTGTATACTTGTTTTTGAGTCTATACTGACATATGTATAAGTTAAACATGCAAGGTATAATATTATTCAAAATTTAATTAACTGCTTTTCTTAAATGATACAAGATCACCTCTTTATTACTTTACAACAATAATATTTAATACTTAGTGAATTCTCTCGTGGCATCAGTTTATTAAAATTAAAAATATAAACTAACCATTCTGCACATAAATATTTTTTTGTTAATATCTGGAGGATACGTTATTTTTTACTGTGTTTTAATGTCAACACTGCTAACTCAGTATTTTATTGGATCTAATTCATTTATTAAAGCCTAAACAATGGTGAAACAAAGCTAAAGTGAGCCTTCATAAAAAATATATTACAAAATGCATAAAAGATTGAACTATAAAACTTGTTTCATAGTAAATATGATTATGTTAAGAGCTGTGTAAGCCATAAATATAAAACTTGTTTCATAGTAAATATGATTATGTAAGAACTGTGTAAGCCAATATAATATAAAACTTGTTTCATAGTAAATATGATTATGTAAGGGCTGTGTAAGCCGTTGAAAAATAAAACTTGTTTCATAGTAAATATGATTATGTAAGAGCTGTGTAAGCCGTTGAAATATAAAACTTGTTTCATAGTAAATATGATTATGTAAGGGCTGTGTAAGCCAATATAGTATAAAACTTGTTTCATAGTAAATATGATTATGTAAGGGCTGTGTAAGCTTTAACTTTTATTTACAGAGTGTTTGATCTCCAAGTTTAAAAAAATTGACTTTCTTCATTTAATAAGCTGTTCCTCTGAAAAATAAAATACTTTAAAATGATTGAAAGAAAATGAATATAAATTAAAAATATACAGTCTGTTCTCACAGAGTAATAACTATGATGAATCTAATATTTTATCTTTGATAATACTTCTGTTGAAAAATGATCGATAATACAATAAACATTAAATGGAGTAGGCCTTACATATGTCAGAATAAATACACTACTTGAAAAGATTAAAATATAATCAGATTTTTTTAATATTTTAACTACAAAAAGACAACTAAGTTCATTTTGATACAACACCAGAATGGCGTGGCATGACTTGTACATTTCAGTGGTATAGTAAATATGATAACTACGTGTGTAAAGAGATCCAGATTGATAGTGAAATTTGAAGATGTCAATAAAGATATGTAGATGTTTCCATGTGAGTGAAAGCAATAAGCCAGCTAGAAACTAGTCAAATACAATAAGTTGTTGCAAAATGGTTACAAAACTCACAAAGTATGGTTAGCAAGTTGTGGTCTTGCTTTCAGACCTCCATTATTATTAGCTGGAGACCAAAATGATTAGTATTTGGGAACGTCGGCTCTTCCAGCTGAATCAACCCATCACAACAGCAACTGGATGACAAATCAATATGCAAATAGTCAGAAATAATTACTAATTCTTTTGGCCATCCACATTCATTTAATAATAATAAAAAGTCATTTGAAAAACAAACAAATTATAAAGTTGTTGCAGAAATTTTCTTAAGACATAATTTCAAAAGAGAGTAATAAATAAAACCACTGTTCTTAATGCAAATATAATTCTACAGTTATAATTATGGAAATTTCAACTAATTCAAAACTAGAAATCTTTATCTGGCAATGGATAGTTAGTAAAAAGCCAGTACTTTCTGGAAATTCACATCAACTGATTACTAATATCCATTAAATTAAGAATCATTTGTATCACTTGTTATTTTGCCAGTACAGCTAGCACTCTCGCAAGTGTAACTGGCAAACATTTGTCACTAGCACTCTCGCAAGTGTAACTGGCAAACATTTGTCAGTAAACTGTTCAGATGTCACATTAGAGAGGATTTGGAGCCTGTTTTTCAATTGACTTTTTTTAATTAAATGAATGTGGA